CCCCCCCCCCTTCGCCCCCCTTTTCTATTGTGACCGATAAAACGCTTCGCGTTCGAAATAATCAAGCTACGTTCACCGACGAGCTGTGGTCGACCGACGAGGAGTAAACGGATGAATTTAATATGAAATTGGAAAAACCCAGCGGGATAAATCGGCGGATTCGTATGCGCATCCACTCTTCTCGCTGCTTTCACGGGAATTTTCAGCCAACTGTCGCACGTACGAGCTTCGCCCATGTTGTTATCGAGTAGAGGTGGTCCTCCCTCGTTTCCCACTGAAAGTTGAATCACGATTCGATGTCGATGAGTCAGAAACGTCACGATTATCGACGCACAGCGAGTCACGGCATCCTCACGATCGACCGTGAAACGTCTATGTCGGTTTCTCGAGATAAAGGGCGGCGTGGAATGAAAAGTGGGACACGTTCCAGTCGTGGGACACGGAATCTCGACTTCCGTATGCATGAGACGAGTGGCTCGTCTCTTCGAGATTCCGCTGCAATTCCGTTTTCGAGCGTGTTTGTCGCTTTGATTCCATTCAAAATTTTTGCGACGTCGCGTCGCAAATTGTGCGTGACACATGGGAGAGGTCTTTGTCGAAAGATGTCGGATGAAATAGGAGGGCTTTATGTCCTCCACGTAGGCAGGTACGTACGTACGTTTCTCGGTTTTATTAAAGAATAAACTCTGGCGAAACGGTAAACTGCTTATACGCCGAGGTAAATCGCGTAGAACGTGGATACGTCGAGTATTGTGCACGTCGACTGAATTATTTTCAAGTTAAACTGAAACGTTCGACGAAATTTCTTTTCACGCCGTACGTTTTATCCCGTCGTCGTCGTCGTACTTGCTCACTGTTCGGCGCGTCTCCTTCGACCAAACAGAAAATAGCCAAACGATCGGCTCTTCTGTTTTCCGGTGAATCGTCGTTACCGAAAAGTTTCGTTTCGATCGGATACTTTGCCCCCCCTCGAAGAGCTATGCCTCTTCCTGTTTAGTCGGAAGACGATACGGTCGAGCAGCGGGTTTGCCAGTCATAAAATGTCCATCGTCTTTTTGTCGCGAAAATTGAATTAGCCCTGGCCAAGCTCAGGGATGTTCTCCCTCTTGTTGGCCTGAATTTTTCCTCGAGCTAACAGAAACGACTACTTACCGAGGTAGTTTCGGCTCGTTAGTTGGCGAACAAGGATCGTGAAAGTTGCACGAAGGTGTCGTGAATCGGAAGAGCGGAAGAGCGTGCACGTGCCCGGTGAATATTTAAAGAAAAGGCAGCGGGAGAATCGCGATCACGGTCGCGATCGCGATCGGGAAACTCGTCGAACGGCCGAAACTCCCCGTACGAATAAGTTCCCGCGACGTTTGTACAGTACTCACGGTTCCCAATAATTTATTTGTAGCCGCGAATCGATAAATCCAGCCGGCGAACGGCGGGAAAAGTTCGAGTCCAGCGAAGTTTCGAGTCCGAAAACGCCGCCCTTGAGACCGTTCGCTTAATTTCCTGACGCTGTTCAGCCGCGAAATTATCCTTCGCCATGATTTTTCCGGGACTTTGGAAACAATTTCCTCTCTCTCTCTCTTCTCTTTTCCTCCCTTTTGTTTTTGAGGATCTTTCGAAAAAAGAAAGAATTTCTCACATGTTTTTTGAAAACGTTCGCACGCGCCGGGATTATTGCTCAGCAATTTGTCTCTGCCGATTACTCGTGGTAATTGCTATCGTCCTTTTCTTCGTTTCTTTTCTTGTCTTTTTTGTTCTGCCTCTCTTTCCAATCATTCTCGACATTTCGTCGAAGGATTATTTTCTTCTTTCCTTCTTTTTTTCTACCGTTATGCGCCTCAAAGTTTGAAACGAATTTATTCGAGCGGAAGGAATTATCAGGTCGATCGATTTCCGCGGATTCGCGAGTTAGTTAGCTGAAATCTTCCCACGGCAAAGAGGCAGTATCTGCTAATTATATACTCGTTCTTCTCTCTGCGTCAAGTCTCTTCGCCCGCTTGGTCAAAGAGATCGAGAGAATAATATTTTATTTATTAACATCTCGTT